CAGGAGCAAGCATGTCTAACAACAGGAGAGCTATTTGCAGCCCTTACCCTTAGGAAGGAGCATATGAAGGCAGCTACCTAGGAAGAAGGGGGATGTGTCATTGCTCAGGCAAGAGATGGGCCCAGATACCCATGATGGCCCACATCTATATGCGCCTGGAGAAGATGGTGAGGGTGTGAGAAGCTGGACTCCCTTTTCTCCCTCTCTGGAGCAAACCTAAGTTGCCCCAGCCATGTATTACTATATATTCCATGTATACTTAACACATAGTCCGGCACAGGTGAAAACAGGCCAGACCCCAGAGCAGATGCAACACTTATGGCCCCACATCACAGCACATAGAAACATTGACTTGGACAAGTTTTGTGAGGAGGCCACCCCAAACCCAGGTGTGCAAAATTCAAAAAAGACTCAAGAAGCTACCAGGCAAAGGATGGCCCAAATTCATTCCTCCACCAGGAAGGGAAGTGCACCTTGGGGCCCCAGACAGTAACCCTGTGACTTGTAGTCAATGCCACCAAAGGCTGACAAATATCTGAAGGGAGAATTCAGGGTCTCATGAGAATGAGTACAGGACACTTTAATTGGCCTGGGAGAGCAAGAAGAAATGAAAAAAAGACATTGAGATGCTAGGTAAAGAATAAGTAAGGCAACAGGGTGGGGAGGAGTTAGAATGAAAGGATGTGGAGTGTGAGAGCCTGAGGAGGGAAGGGGCTGAGGTACTGACCAGAGGCCCTTACACGTGGAGCAGAAAGCATGACAGAGGGGACGGGGTGCAGAAAGTCTGTGAGGGGCTGGGCCACACCAGGATCTGCATTGCAACAATGTGAGCTACACTTTGTTCTCAGAGCAGCTGGAGCCATGGAGCCTGCCCAAGGCTGCAATGGCCTTCAAAACCAAAAGGAAAGGGCAGAGGCAGCCAATGCTCCCAGGAGAATCAGAGTCCAGAGCTGCCTATGGCTGGGCTGCCTCCAGAAGGTATGTCCTGCAAGTACCATATCAACATGTCGCTTTTAACCCTTTGCCAATTCACGACACAAACAGAATTATTAAGTCTTTTTAATTTGAAGAGCTGACCATTTTCACATGTTTTGGCTTTGACACATTCTTGTCCACATACTCCGTCCAATGTTTCAGCTAGAGCTACGTCTTTGATTCTCACCTGCAAGAACCTGTCAACCCAATGCCACATAAACCCATTATGCGCACATGCTGTGCAGCCTGTACCTTTCTGGTGAAGAACGTTCCGGGCTCGCACCAGGTCAGGATCATCAGGCCCAATGCCCAGGATTCTGAGAGCCACATAGTTGAGTGCAGTCCCAAACACTGTGGACTTGTCTTCAATGTGCCTATAGGATCAAAGGTAGAAAATGACCTCTAGTCATCACTTCCAAGAAAAATAGTAATGCTGGTAGTGAAGTTTGCCTAGAAAAGGAAGAATGTGAAAATACTTTCCTCTGACATGACATCACAACTCAGGAAGTACCACTCAGTTATCCCCAGGAGCTTGCTCAACTCCCATGATGATGGATCTGTACCCAAGCAGGACCCATCTGCCCTTCTGCTCACTTCCCATCCAAGTGGATGTGTCTGTCCAAGTCCACTGTGGCAGGGGAACCACACCCAGGAGGACTAAGCGGTCTTCCCAGAATGTGGACCAACCAGGAAAGCAAACTGGGATGAGGCCTGCTGTGGCCACCTGCATCTGCCACCACCCCAGAATCAAAGGCAACTTTCTTCTATGATGAAACACAGATGGCTTTCATAGGGCACGTAGGTCTCAGAAGTCCCCACCAGCCATTAAACCCAGCCATAGCACAGATGTGAAATGAAGCCCAGCACCAGCCTACTCCTCTCCACCCAGGCCCACAGCTGCAGTCCCCTCACCTTTCAATAGCAGCCTGGAAACCCAAGCAACACCTACCCAAGGTTACATGCATGCACACACACATACATGTGTGCAGCCAGGTATACTCACAGGCCCCAGCCACCATCGGGGAGCTGTACTGATCGCAGGTACCGTATCATCTCCTCTCTGTATCCAGCTGGCAAAGGGATGTGTGCTATGTGGCACGTGATCAGGAGGCCTGCATGGCAGGAAGGATGTTCCTCACTGGGAGCAGGTGCTCAGCGCTGCTAAAACTGGACCCCTTTTCCTCCTGAGGACCCACCCTGACAGGAAGCTGCCCCCATGGATCTCCTTCCCATGGAAACAAGCCCAGGAAGGTCATTCTTCTTGGGGCCTCTTTGGGACTTTGGGACAGGATTCAAGGGAGCAGCAGCAGAGGTGGTGCTCCCACCCAGGACCTGCAGAAGCTGCCAGGCTACCCGAGTCACAGAAACACCAAACAAAGTCTTAAAGAGGCCACCCACAGTGCCCTGAAGGCCTGACAGGGGCCATGGTTCAAGATCAGTGGTGGACAAGGGGAGGCCAGTCTTGCTTTAACACCTGTGTTCTTCTGTTTTGAAAACTTTTTATAGTGGGGGAAACAACACTATCAACAAGGCCCTTTGTTCCCAGCCTGGTCTTCCTAGTATGCTGCTCCTAGGACACTCTCTACCCCCATGTCCTAGCACAAGAACAGTCTCAGAGCAGAGTTTCTAATCACATCTGTATTTGTGCAAGAATTCAGGCCACTAAAACAGAAAGATTGCATGTCACTAGGGAAGAGGGTCCTAGTTGTAGATCTCCTACATTACAACACTGAGTGCTTCTTCAGAGAAACACTTCCAGGATACAAAACAGTCTTGTATAACCAGACCAGACAGTGCCCAGGGGTCATACCCCTTGCCAGCCCAGACCTGAGTTCCCACTGCCACAACTCCCTCACATGCCCTTTCAGTGTGAGTTCACAGCAAACATCACAGCACTCACATGGACACCAGCTCCCCACACACGACTCTGCCCACCTACAACACCTTGGCATAGTTTGGGCCCTCCATAGAGTTCCCCTCTCCCCCAGCACTGGGACTCAAAAGCCTCCTCCCCAGTTCCCCTGGTTCCCATATCAGAGTGCCTCCACTTGCGTCCCAGCACCAGAAGCAGGGTGACTGGGACTCTGGGAAACCCTCCCCATCCCTTCACGTGCACTCATCTGTTTCACCAAGAACATAGACATGGAAAAAAAAAAAAAATAGAACCCCAGGATGATCCAGGGTAGTCTTGCCCTCTGGCTGGGGCAGCAAGTTCCTACCTGGAAGGAGGAAGAGAGGGCCACCGTAATCACCTGCCCAGTGCCCATCCTCAGCCTGCAGTCCCACATAAAATGTTACTCCATTCAGAGCCCCTTCACGAGCTGTGTGAGCTTTGGGCAAGTCCTTAAAATAACTGCTCTGCAAAGGGACAAAAGAAATGAGAGTTGAAGGGGACTGCTGTCCAGAGGAGCCCTTCTAACCCACAGCCCAAGTCAAAAAAAATGAGTGTAGATTACTTTAAAAGTTCCAGCAATTTTAATCAAGTATGAAGACAGTTTAATACCTGAGTACAGTATGGTTCCACATTCTCAGAATTTTACTATTCAGTCTCCTGCAAACTTCTTCACAACTTCTGAGATGTGTTTTTTGTTTTTTTTTTCTTTCCTATTGATACCAGGGATTGAACCCAGGGGCACTTAACCACTGAGCTATATCTCTAGTCCTTTTTATTTTAAATTTTGAAACAGGATCTCTTCAAGTTGCTTAGAGCCTCACTACAGTGCTGAGGCTGGCTTTGAACTTGTGATCCTCCCACCTCAGCCTTCTGAGACACTGGGATTATAGGCATGTGCCACTACCCTAGGCTCTAAATAAACACAGTACCTGGAGTGTGAACAGGGCACTGACACCCACTTGGGCCTGGAACTCCTGCCTTTCTCAGAAAGGGTCCAAAGGACTGCAGGCACAGCAGCTCCCTCCCCAGAAAGAGGTCTGGTGTTTGCTAGAGGTCAGGGCTTGGCAAGAAGCCAGCCCCTGTGTACCCTACCACTGAGATTAGCTGAACTTCTGTATATGGATGAACATCACCAGAACATGAGATCAAAGAACTTCTTTTTGTGAATAAATAGAAAAGTCACAACCACCTTTTGCAATTCTTCTTTTTATATCCAAAATTATTTCAAAGTAAAGTGTTCAAAACAAAATTCTGGCAATTCCTTGCAGGGGTGGGGAATGAAGGGGTTGAAGCAAAGAGGACGCTTCTGAAACAGACTGAAATTAAGGACCCCTCTAAAACAGCGATTTCCTCGTGCTGAGAATAAAGTGCTGACCGGGCTGCAACGCCCCGGCCTGACGGCCCGGCGCTGTGACTTGGGAGCGGGTGCCACCGGGGAGCGGCCACTCACAGTGTCCAGCCCCAGGGAGTGGGCCTCCAGGCCGGTCTGCTGGCGGCCAGCGTCGTCGTCCTGGCCGCAGTACGTCCACGTCTGCCGCCCCAGCTCATTGCGGAGCCGCCAGCGGCTGAGGTCGGTGGCGGGCTCGGTTTTGTAGGGTCCCCCTCGGCGCCGCAGACACCTGGAGGACCAGCGCAGTGAGCGCCCGCCCCGCCGCCCCGCCCGGCCCAGGGGCGCCCACCCGGCTCCGGCCCGCGAACCCGCCGCCAGGGCCGGGGGACTCACGTGCCCTCCGTCATGACAGCTCCGCGCTCCGCGGAATCACCGCGAGCCGCCACCTAGATCTGAGGGCACATCCCCGCCCCGCGCACTGCGCAGACGCGCGCCTCGGCTGACTGCACTGCCCAGTGGCCCGATGCCGCGCAGCCAATCAGAGCGCCACCAACCGGGCTCCGCGCGCCGGCGGCCGCGCTGGTGAGGCGCACGACAAAACACGCGGCCGGGGCGGAGCCTCCGGGGAGGGGCGAGGCGCTAGGGGCGGGACTTGTGGGCGGGTCCTGCGAGGCGGGCAGCCCGGAGAGGCGGGACTGGGACCTGAAGGGCGTGGCTAAGGGGTCCAGTGGGCGGGGCCAGCTCTTCCGGTACCTTTGGTCGTGGCGTGGGCCCGGGGCGTGAAAGGGGGCCGCCCCCGGGGCGACCAGGAGGCTTGTAAGGAGGGTCGACGGGGTCTGGGAGACAGGAGTTTGGGGACGACCTCAGATTCCGAGAGCCTCGGGGGTGGTGGCGGGCAGAGTAATCACAGTGTAATCACTGTGTCCTGAGGTGAGTGCGGGGACGCGGGGCTGGACCCTGGGTCAAGGGGGATGGAGCTCGGAGGTGGTGGGGCGGGAGATGAGGGGGCGGGAGATGAGGGGGGGCGGGAGATGA